AATATACAATTTCAAATGTAATGAATGGGGTTTTGCAAATGTTATGAATAAAGTATTTTTTTTGAGGGGGGGGGAACAAATGTCCCTGTATATTGTAGTGAAGACATTGTTTTTTTTATATAAACGGTAACTTTGCTTGCTTTTCTTTGATTCTCTTTGACTATTCAACAGAATGTTATTGCTATAATATGAACTGAATTTTATTTTTTGTCTTTCTGTTCCTTCACAACAGATGAAGTTGAGATGCTGTGTTTTGCAGTTAAATGCAGCATTAGGTGTCTGACTAGACTAGTGATGGGGATTAACAATTGGTCAGCTTTTTTTTTACTCCCTGCAGTGGGAGGTGCCAAGTGTCTCATCTCCTTGATCTCTGGGCACTCCCTGCAGCAGTGCAGCTAATTTGCAGAGATTTGGCACTTCTCAGCCCTTGGGGGTTAGGGGTTGGAGAAGGGTGAATGTAATTGTGTGTTTTTTTTAAAGTTTATATGCAATTCTGTAAATCATTACCCCATTTCCAGAATCCCACCTGATCTGACATTTGCTGATTTCTTCATGGGCATTGGGTACCATCCTTCAGTGGGGTTATTCAGGTATGAGCCTCAAGGCAATAACATCCTTGGGTGGATAGTGTTTATTTTAATGCTGTAAAATGTTCTGGTGCTTTTCAGAGGTGTGGCCAAACTAAAGATGGCTCATTTTCCAGCGAAAGAAAACTGAGAGGAGTGATTGGCCCCCTTTGTGGGTGTACAAGTAAAAGCTAACTGAGGAGTTGGGAAAAGCCTGCCTGAGGGCTGCCAGTGGTGGCTCACAGAAGTTGTGCTTTGAGTACTGTAGGACCAGAGTAGGCCGTGGGTGGTGTCCCTACTTCTAAGCCAAGAGACCTGGCTGCAAGTCCCACCTGCTTCAGAAGTGTGCCATAGTGTCTCTGAACTCATTGATTAGAAAATATTTATAAAGGATTAAAAATTTTTAATTGGAGATCAACACAGATGAGTGATTTTTTTTTTTTGAGTGAGCAAGTGCTGGAGAAACTGACTATGTCTAGCAACATCTATAGAGAGAGAAATTTTGAGTTAATGTTTCGAGTCTGTTTGGTTGAACTTATTTTTGCTCTTTTGATGTTTGTTTGTTCCTGGGATGTGGGTGTCGTTGGCTAGACTGGCATTTATTGTCTACCCCTGAATGACCAGAGGGTCAGTAAGAGTCAACCACATTTTGTCTGGAGTTGCATGTAGTCCAGACCAGATAAGGATGATAGATTTCCTTTTCTGAAAGAGGTTAATGAGTCAGATACCATTTTGACTTTGACAGTTATTTTTTTTATTCACTGAAGGGATGAGTGCTTCACAGCTGCCCAGCATTTATTGCCTGTCCCTAGTTGCCTTTGAGAAGGTGGTGGTGAGCTACCTCTTTGAAGTTACCTTTGTGCTGTAATTGACCCACAATGCCCTTGGGGGAGGGAACTACAGAATTTGGACCCAGCAACGTTGTATTTCCAAATCTGGATGGTAAGTGGCATAGAGCAGAACTTGCAGGTGGTGGTGTTTCCATGTATCTGCTATTGTTTTCCTTCTAAATGGAAATGGTCATGGTCATGGTTTGGAACGTGCTGTCTGATGTTCTTTGAAGTGCATCTTGTAGACAGTACACACTGTAGCTACTGAGTGTTCATGCTGGAGGGAGTGGAAGTGGTGCCAGTCAAATGGGCTGCTTTGTCTTGGGTGGTATCAAGCTCCTGTGTTGTTGGGGCTGCACCCTTCAAAAAGTGGAAGTATTCCATCACACCTGTGACTTGAAAATGAAGGACAGGCTTTGGGGACTCAGGAAGTGAGTTACTCGCTGCAGTATTTCCTGCCTCTGACCTGCTCTTGTTGCTATCGTTTGTGTCAAGTCCAATTGAGTTTTTGGTCAATGATAACTCCAAGGATATTGAAAGGGGATTCAGTGATGGTAACACCATTGAATGTCAAGGGGTGATGATTACATTGTCCCTTATTGGAGATGGTCATTGCCAGGCATTTTGTGTGGCATGAACGTTACTTGCCACTTGTCAGTGCAAGCCTGGATATTGTCCAGATCTTGTTGCATTTGAGGAGTTGAGAAAGGTGCTGAACGTTGTGCAATCATCAAACATTCCCACTTCTGACCTTATGGAGGGAAAGTCATTGAAACAGCTGAAGATGATTTGGCGTAGGATGCTACTCTGAGAAAATCCTGCAGAGATGTCACGGAGCTGAGATAATTGATCTGCAAAAATCATAATTATCTTCCGTTCTGCCAGGTATGACTCCAACCAGTAGAAAGTTTTCCCCCGATACCCATTGATTCCAGTTTTGCTAGGTCTCCTTGATGCCACACTTGATCGAATGCAGCCTTGATGGCCAAGGCTGTCACTATCCCATCACCCTCTTGAAGAAGGGTCCCGACCTGAAACGTCAACTCTCCTGCTCCTCTGATGCTGCCTGGCCTGCTGTGTTCCTCCAGCTCCAAACTGTTATCCCTTACCCTCCCGTCACCTATGTGCTGGCCATCGGGTCAGCTTTTTAATCCAGATTTTTTATTGAATTCAAATTTCATCATCTGTTGTGGTGGGATTCAAACACCAGCCTGGAGTTCTAGCTAACTAGAACAGTGATATGATCACCATACCAGCACCTCTTCAGATACTGCCAGACCTGCTGGGTTTCTCCTGTACTTTTTATTTTTGGATCTCCAGCATCCACAGGACAATGCTGCTGTTTAAGGTTCTGGGTAGGATATGGGCTGAATTTTATGGCTTAATGTGGGCATGTTTTCAATGATTGTTTGTTTGTTTGGGGTGGTGGTGAGAAAGAATGTTAATGTAAAATCTAGGTGGTGAAGGTACCAACTTCCCCATATTCTCACCCCCATTAATATGATAGTTGCGTTAGAAATCAGCAGCCTGTCTGCCACTTGCAAGTAAATAAGTAAAGATTTGATAACTCTCTCATTGAGAGAGCAGAGTTTTAGCTCAGTCAATTGTGTGACTGATGTGAGCAGGCTGTTTTGTTTTCATGTAGCCTAGATAATGAGTTTGGACGGGAGCAGGGCTACCTTTGTTCAGTGGGTACCTTTGGAATTGGGGTCAGATGCATTTATGGTTGAAGTATCAATAGTTTACACAGTATTTTTTATAATAACTGCATTTGAGATTCATATCATCTGAGGTGGCTAATGCTTATGGATAGAATGATTTTATATAAAAATGTAAGGTTCATACCATTAGTGATGGAAAAAATATTTTTGTTAAAGAATTCAATAATCAAATTTTCATGAATAACATGGACAGTTAAGTTAATTTATTTTGCCAAACTAATGAAAAGCCTGTGGGTGTAAAACTGAGATGAGAGAACATGAGTCATAGCAGAATGGAGCATTTAAATCATTTTCATTTCTGAAGTCAAAAGAAATAAGTAGATATCAAACATCTTTTCTACCTCCACTGCTTGGCAACAAAATGAATGTTGGTGAAACCAGAATGTGTGATCACAATGCCAAGAATGCCTCGAGCAAGATGTGGTAGATGTGGAGAATTTAGTAGCTTCATTTAAGTGCTGCTGCTGATGTTACACGAGTGAAAGCAAATGTACAGTTTTGGTCAGCGCAATATGATACATGTGACAGGCAGCAGAAAGGGTTCAGAGAGATTGTTTGGACATTACTAGGTAATTAAAAGCAGTGAAAGAAAACAATGGGGATATGATCAAATCTTGAAAGCTGTGACTCCTATACCAGAGCAGAATGTTTTGTACTCTAGATGCATGAGGCATTTGACAAACTTTTTTTAACAAAGCCTTCTTGGCTTAAGAATCTAAATATTAAACCCTGAAATCCATATAATTCACTCTTTGATTTAATTAGTGTCTAATTAAGTGAAACTCCTTGTTTAAGTAAACAATTCTAATTGGATTTCATTGTTTTGGAAAGCTGTGCAACATTATGATCAAAAATAGCAAGGTGGGAGTTGAGAGATTTAAGAATTGTGTAAGGTATATTGGATTTGAATTTATAACTTTTTGTGAGGAGGGTTTTATCAGTCCATGTAAACCAGTCATCATTGCAAACTTGTTGCTGTGAACAGATGCTGGTTCTTTTTGATTTGGAAGTAATCTCCACAAGCTTAAGTGATATAGTGTCAGCATCTATGACCTTCTTGTGAGAACGCTTTGGGTGCAGCTGCTTTGGGGGGGGAGGGGTGGTAGAAAGAGAAAAAGAAAAGGCCTTTCTTCATTTTTTAGCAGTAACACACTTTCTGCTCCAGGACATGCTGAATTATGGATTAATTTGATGTTTGTGGGAGGATGGAGCCAATACTATGTTAAGCAGCATAGTGTTTCTCTTCTTTTCCTTCTGTAATCTTGTTTGAGATTAGCCATGTGGAAGAAATCATTGTAAATAACTATTTGCATTGTATCACTTCTTGCTGTAGATGGACTGTCGACGTAATTGATATAGATGTGTTTTGCTGTACCATCAAGGCAAACATAACACTAGCCTTAATTCTATTACCTTGCATTGCTGGTTAGAAATTAACCAGTACAATTTTTATTTACATCTTTAACAATCCAATAAAGTCCAAATTGAACAGGATGGAACATGGCATGAATTATCTTTCTCAGAAGAATTTGAACACTATCGGAGTCTGATAATATCTGCTTGCTTGTTGAGGGGGTGGTTGCCCCCACCACCACCCCCCCCCTCCCCAAAACCATTAAATGGGGAAACTTTAAAAACTGCTCCCTTGGGGGCAGACTTTTTTCTATTTTTTTTTTTTTTTTTTGAAGCAAAAAATCTTTTTAACCAGATAAAGATAGTTTTAAGTTTACGTTGACCTGTGGTAGTCACCCTGGCTGCCTACCTCTTACCTGGCCCAGATTTGCTCTTGCGGCTCTGAGCAAGGAGCAAATGTTGTCCACCAATGCCCCGAGGGTCTTCTGTGAACAGTGGGCACCACAGGGGCTGGAGGATTGTTGCTGTTCTGTCACTGTTTGCAATATGTATTTTCTGTGTGGCAAAATATCTGAAATCCTGCAAAATTGGAATCATTACACTGGCACCTCATTGCATGTGCTTTTGAGGACCAGCAGAAAAAGCTTATGACGATACAATTTCTCTTTTTTTTAAACCTTTCACCTCTGCATGACTCTTTCTTTTTATCTTTTGTCATAGATCTCCTGGAATATTAGTCACAGGTAATTGAAACTGTGGAACACAAAGTTCTTAATTAGCAGTCAGCCTAGCCTGTACCTATTTTAAGATGCCTTTCTTTCTTTTGAGGAATCTGTTTGAAATTGACCCTGAAATCCAAGTTTAACAGTTAAATGAAGTGTACACATTGCCCTATTGAGGCCAGGATGCAAGCTTAAGATACCTTCTGAAGTGTAAATTATAATGAACCTGTCTAATCTGTCAATTAATCTTGGCAAACCACTAGCTGGCTTTAATTAGTGTCTAGTGTCAGGACTATAGTGAATTGTAAGAAGTGATCAAACATCTGGGTCATAAATGACTAACGTCTACATTTTGACATAGTCAAAGAGTGCATCAATGTTATGCTTAACTTCAAGTTGTTGGCTGCTGTTTCCAACCCTGACTCTATGGCTGTTTCTCTCTATATTTTTTTTTTAAAAAGGTTGGTGACCGTGTTATTGTAATGAACAGAGCAGGATTATGGTCCGAACTGGTTGTGATTCCAGTCAGTAATACCTTCCTGATGCCTGATGGGATGAGTTTTGAAGAGGCTGCTGCCATTCCGGTCAATTATGTCACTGCATATATGATGATCTATGACTTTGCAAATCTGCGTCCAAATCAGAGCATTCTCATCCATATGGCAGCTGGTAAGAGTTCCTGTCGCTGTGTCCAATTTTCTCTTTCCTTAGTTCACTTGAGGTATGTTGTAAATTTGTGCTATATTGTAACCTGGAATCTTTAACTGAATTTCATTGTGTAAAATGGGCATCACTTTTTGCATCCCATGGTCAGTATACTTTAAGGTACATGCTAACACTATTGTCACCATTGTAGTTTGTGACCTGTGCATCTAAAGATCTCACTCCATCTTACCTCTGATCACTTGAAGCCTAACGCCACCGGAAGCATGCTGTTCTGTTGTAACATAAAAGCTTAACAGTTCTTTAGAGACTTTTATGTGAGTGGGGAATATAATGTTTGTGCATGATATTTGCAATGAATGTCAGTTAGATTCTTTAATATACTGGAGATAACTGATGTGGCAAATGCTTATGTTAAAACAGCCTGTTGAATTCAAACATGCACTAGCAGAGCAAATGAGGTTTCATAATTGAACAATTTAAAAACTTGCTGAGGAAGGAGCAAAGCAGTATGTCTTTGGAGCTTTTAATTTTGTTACAACTCATTTTCCTAATGTAACTTGTTTAGTTTTCTCTTGCATTCATTTTTGAGAATTGAGACTCTGGTTATCAGGAATACACTTTGCTGTATAATTAAAATACTGAAACCAATAGCCAAAAACTGAGATACAAGTGATGCTTCGGAGTTCTCCTAAACTAGATCAGTTTTTGTTTAAAATAGCCTGTGCTGTTTGCAAAACTGATTTGGCACTAGCTTTATTTTTTAACACGCATGAATTTTTATCTAATTGTGTAGAAATGAAGTCCATACTGCACCTTGTTGAACAATGGCCCAAGCTGTAACATTAATACAGTAACTTGCCTGATGCAGTTACCATTGAATGGAATATGGCAGTCATTTTGAGCATAGCCACAGCCCACAAGCATGTCTTTGTCGGTGCAAGTTTCATGAAAGGAATTTTACAACAGACAGCTGCTTAAATGGTTCAATTGTATTTTGTACATCAGAGGCCTTTGTTAGTTGAGAGATCATACTAAATCATTTTTCAGAATGCATAATATTAATGAAGTAACAATTTGGGAAGTGTTGGAGTGGAACTTCAGCCAGTAATCTTTGACTTTGGTATGTTACCAAGCTGATGATTTATTGAAGATGTTTCATAAAAATCGTTAGTGCTGACATCAGCCATGAGAATCTTGCCATACGATACAGCTTTGATTTGGTAGTGCCAATTCATGAATGGCATTTTAACATGGGTATCTTTAGTCCTTTGAACCAGATACTATCATTAAATCTTGCGTATTAAATGTGCATGCCAATATTCAAAAAGCGATTTTATAAACTAATTCCTCTGTCACACCTGAAGACAAACTGCATGTGCTTTGTGAATTGTTCAGTTTATGAATGTTTAAAAGCCCCTGACTGGAGATAAGGTGAGGAGAAAGCTTTTAAAAAGGACATGAGGGGGAACTTTTCTTACAGTGGTTCATACATGGAATGAATTGTCAGAGGAAGTGGTGGATGCAGGTGCCATTAAACAGTTAAAAGACATTTGGATGGGTACATAAATAGGAAAGGTTGGAGGGAAATAGGCCAAATGCAGGCAAGTGGGACTAATTTGATTGGGAATATGGTTGGCGTGGACTAGTTGGACTGAAGGGTCTGTTTCCATGCTGTATGACTCTGACACTCTCTCTAAATTGGATGACAAAGACCAGGTTAGGGGTCCACTGGAAGTCTTGTCCATGAACTAATGTTGTTTAAAGATATTAAGCATTTCCCTTTTATTATAATCAATGGGATTGGAAAGTAAAAGATGAATCTCACAAGGGTAAAGAATGCCTGACTGGCTGCAAATTCAAGTCCTGTATTAAGATCAGAACAAGACCGCTGATGTATCTTCAGTACCGGTGCAGAGAAGGTAGATCGGGAGGAAGCTAGGGTGTACATTTTCTGAGTCGCCTGTTCAACAATGTTATTACACACCTCTGGAGCAGGTAGGCCTTGAACCCTGTGACAGACTACTTAAATATTGATCTACAACTTACTGTTTCCAGTGAACCTTTTTCTGGAGGAAGAAAGTGAGTAGAATGGAGTTGTTCCTTTTTGAAGGATATGGGCAGGCAGAAACTAGTTTGGCTGCTCTCAAGAATCAGCATTGAGCGTAAAGCATGTACAACTCATGTTTTGGAAGTATGGAGGCACCCTGTAATTGAAAGAGAACTGGAGAGGTAACTCCAACTGTGAGAATACGTGGCCAGAACATTAAACCGGTCACTAAGTACACTTTCTTTTTTCCAGTTTGATCCATAGTTTGGACTACAGTAAAATGAGAGGACTACCAATAGATATAGGAGCAGAATTAGGCAATTTAGCCCATCAAGCCTGCTCCTTCATTTATGGCTGATATGTACCTCAATCCCCATGCTCCTGCTTTCTCTGTATAACCTTTACTAATCAAGAACCTATTGATTTTGGCCTCCACTGCTTTCTGCAGCAATGAGTGCCACAGATTCACCACCCTCTAGCTGAAGAAATTCCTCCTCCTCAGTTCTAAAGGGTCAACCTGTTCTCTCATGTCCAGTCTATCCATGCATCTCCGTATTCTATGTTTCAGTCAGACTCCAGTCCCTTTTGTGCTTCAGATTTCTGAAGCCTTTTCCCATTTCGAAAGTAGTTTTTTAACTTTACTGTTTTCTTATTACCGAAGTGCATAACCTCACACTTTCCTACGTTGTATTACATCTGCCATTTCTCTTTTGCCCACTGTCTAGCCTGTCCAAGTACTTCTGCAGCCTCCCCACATCCTCAACACCACTACCTGTCCCTCCACCTATCTTCATGTCATCTGCAAACTTAATAATAATGCCCTCAGTTCCTTCATCCAGATTGTTAATGTTTTAATGTGAATAATTGTGATCCCATTACTGATGCCTGCAGAACTCTACTAGTCACCAGCGACCATCCTGAAAAAGACCCCTTTATCCCCGCTCTCTGCCTTCTGCCAGTCAGCAAACCCTCTGTCTGTGTCAGTACCTTGCCCCTAACACCCTGGGCTCTTACCTTATTTAGCAGCCACCTGTGCGGCACTTCGTCAGAGGCTTTCTGGAAATCCAAATAGATCACATCCAATGCCTCTTCTTTGTCTAACTAGCTCATTACTTCCTCAAAGAATTCTAACAGATATGTCAGGTATGCCCTCCCCTTGATGAGCACTTTCAAGTGCTCTGTAATCTCCTCTTTAACAATGGATTCTAAAATCTTAACAATGACTGAGGTCAGGCTAACTGGCCTATAGTTTCCTGTCTTCCACCTCCCTCATTTCTTAAACGGGCATGTTACGTTAGCCATTTTCCAGTTCTCTGGGACCCTTCCTGACTCCAACAATTCCTGAAAGATTGCCACCACTGCTTCTGCTACCTCTTTCAGAGCTCTGGGGTTTCAGAGGAGTGCAATGAAGGGATGGCGGGACTGACTTATGAGGAGAGATTGACTGGTCAGGATTGTTTTCATTGGAGTTTTGATGAATGAGGGGGTGATCTCATAGAGACTTATAAAAGTCCATCAGGACTAGACAGGGTAGATGCAGGGAGGATGTTCCTGATGGTGGGTGTGTCCAGAACCAGGGGTCACCTTCTGAGGATTCGGGGCGATTTAGGACAGATGAGACAGTTCTTCACCCAAAGAGTGGTGAGCCTGTGGAATTCATTACCACAGGAAGTAGTTGATGCCAAAACATTGAATGTATTCAAGAGGCAACTAGATATAGCACTTGGACGAATGGGGAGAAAGCTGGATTAGGCTGTTGAGTTGGATGATCGTGGTGAATGGCAGAGCAGACTCAAAGGGTTGAATGGCCTCCTCCTGCTCCTATCCTCTGTTTCAGTTTCTATGTAGTTCAGTTGGTCTGAGTGATTTTATCCACCTTCAGACTTCTCAGCATCCCTAGCACTTTCTCCTTGGTGATGGCCACTACACTTGCTTTTTTTTCTCCCAGACTGTCTTAAAGTTCTAGTATGTTGCTGCCTTCCACTTGAAAACTGAGGTAACATACCCATTCAATTCCTCTGCCATTTCTTTGTTCCTCTCCCTACTTTCAACAACCTCACTTTCCAGCAGTCCACTGTCCCCTCTTGTCTCTCTCTCTCCTTTTTTTTTTAGATACCCAAAAAACCTCTTGCAATCTTTTTGTATTACTAGCTAGCTTCTTTCATATTTCATCTTCTCCCTGCTTATTGTTTCTTCAGTTATCCTCCTACTGATTTTTTTTTTGAGATTACTCACTACACTGCACCACACTTCCTGGTTTTTTTTTTCTTTTATTCTGTACCTGACTTCCCTTGTCAGCCACGATTGCCTTGACCTCCCCTTAGTATGTTTCTTCTACCTTGATGAATTTTTGCTGTGCCTGTCAAATTACTCCCAGAAACCCCTGCCATTGCTGCTCCACCGTCTTCCCTGCTAGGCTCCCCTTCTAATCAACTGTGGCCAGCACATCCTTCATGTCTTGTAGTTACCTTTACTCAATTATAATAGTGTTACATCTGATTCCAGCTTCTCCCCCTCAAACTACAGGTTGAATTCTATCATATCATATTATGGTCACTGCCCCATTGGGGGTTCCTTCACCTTCAGCTCCCTAATAAAGTTTGCCTCATTACATTACTGCTGGAATTACCTGTTCCCTAGTGGGACTCTACCACAGTCTGCTCCAGAAAACCATTTCAGATATTCCATGAATTCCTTTTCTTGACATTGCTACCTGATTCCCACCCACCTCTCCACCGCACCCCCCTCACCAATCCTCCTGCATATTGGAGTCCTCCATGATTACTGTAATAGTGCCTTTCTTGTATACCTCTTCTGTCTTCTGATCTATTTTCCTCCTCACATCCTGACTGCCGCTAGGAGGCCTGTACATAACTCTACCCCCACAGACTCTACACCTTCCAACTTGACATCGCTAATTGTTATCAATTTTTAATTTTATTGCTTGCAGAGCAGGCAAACCTGTCCCCTCTAACCATCTGCCTGTCGTTTCGATAGGATGTGTATCCTTGGATATTTAGTTTCCAACCCTAATCCTCTTGCAGCCATGCCCCTGTGAAGCCCACAACATTGTACTTGCCAATTTTGATCTGCGCTACAAGCTCATTCACTTTGTTTCGTATACAGTGTGCATTTAAGTACAGCACCCTCAGTCTGTGTTGATTGCACGTTCCTTCTCGTAGTTATTCCCTTATCTGCTGTGACTGAAATTAGAGTCCTGACCTTTTTACGTATGTTCTGTCCTATTACTTGTTCTGGAGTCTTTAATAACCTCTGATCCATCCCCACCCCTTAAATTTTCTTCCATAATTTTCCATGCAACTGACCTCTTGCCCCTATTTGGTTTACAGCTATGAAGTCCTAATGTCACTTGGACAAGGAGAGGAAAAACTAGAAGGATGCAAGTTTTGCTCTTTGTTCTGCAGCCAGTTGCTTACTGGGGTTCTCTAGTGGAATATATATTGCAGTGATTCTGTGTATAGTGGACTGTCACTGGCATTTTAATCAAACAGCCATTTAAAGGAAGAGAGAACTCTAGGTGGATATGGGTAAGAAACTTTAAAAGTATGGCTTTACAGGAAAATTGTGAACTAATTGCAGCTTCCAAAACAATTTTATTTTTTGAGGAAAGCATAAGGATGGTGACCTTTTGCTGAAACCAATTATTAAGTAACGCTGGGATTTAATTCTACTGAAGATTGTGCAGAACTGTGATAAACACCAGTGACTTTTGACTTGTTCCTGAAAGAAATATTCTATTCAGCTGATGTAGTGTGGGAATTGTTTAGTCTGTTTTGTTTTGTGTAGCTAACTGGGTTTGAATTGAAGCAATTGACTCGATAGATTTAAGTTTTTTTTCTTTGAAGGTTGGTGGCATTTGTCATAATGAGTTTATAGTGTGTTGGAGTATTTGATTTTAGCAGATTCTTGGGTGAATGCCATTAAGGAAAAAGATCGTAGCCTTTCCTGAACAAATAGCTGTTCCAGAAGTCAGTTCAAGGCCGTGTTAAACTGATACTTCTCCAATTCAATTGGAAACTAACTTAATGGAAAAAGAATTGCTTGGCAAATCTTAACATGTGTGGGAGAGGACGTAGCAGAGAAGAGCTCTGTCATTTCCTTCGTATTCAAGTGATAGCATTGATTTTTTTTTTTGACAATTGCAAGTGGGTGTTGGGTAGGAATGATGGAAGGAGAAAGGCATTACATGAAAAATTTTTTAACACCAGAAGTGCATTGCACTGAACGAAACACTTTTTTTCTTCTTGGAGCAGTTGCCATTTTAAGTGTTCTGTGTTTAGAGATCATTTATTAAAGTAACGCCAATCCATATGATCAAACAAGTTCCATTTGCAAATAATCCAGAATTGTTGATTTTAAACTTGGATGTTTGTGAGATAAAAGCTTTTATCAATGAAATTTAAACACAAAATCTAACTGCTCTACGTTCCATGGTTATTTTAGTACCAGAATGTAGTCTTGTATATTTACCTATGCAATCGTTTACAGCAAAATAGGCAGGATAACTTATGGAAAAAAACATAATTTTTGAAAGGTACGTTCTGGAATTTTTTTTCAAAGCTATCGACCAGGTCCCCTCCTTCCTATCTACATTAGGCATGCTGCCTTTTTGTTTCCATGGTAATGACCTTTTTGAGCCTCACCACTACTTCATTTAAAACTAATCATTAAAAATCATTTAAAAATAACTTGAAAAGAATCCAAATTAAATTTATACACCTTGCTTAACTGGAATTTATCCAAAGCTCTTGCTTGAGGTTTAGTTGATATCTGATCATGACACTTAATTTGAAATCTAGTTATGACTGGCTTCAGCTTAGCAATACAGGATCTCATTCTATCTCCCTATGACTTGCCAGTGTGTGTAAGCTTTATGCCTTGTGCCTTTGTCTGTTTGCCTGAGCTTTCTGCAAATGCGGTAAATGGTTGCTGTTTTTTTTTAAATTAAAAAGTAACATGCTTTACCAGTCCTGAGTGAAATTTTTTCCAGAGACCTGTGAGCAGATTGACCAACCTTTTTTATAATTAAAAATGGACTTCACTTAGCCTTTATTTAACAAAGAATCTGATCTCTGTTTTAATTCTATTGAATAACCTCATGGAGTCCTTTTTATTTTGCATTAAAAATGCTTTGAGTTTCGACTGACCAAACTGCACAACACTCAATAGCCTTTCTTAAACCTACAACAGAAATGTTGCTTGTTTATTTTTCCCATGTGACTGTGGCTGGTTCGCCAACACTGCGCGTGGGAGTGGGGGGTGAAGTTCAGATCTTCCAATGATTCCCTTCTACCGACCTAACACTGAGACTGTTCACTTGTAAATCTCCAGAAATGGCTATAAACACCAGTCAGTGTAACTGTTGGTATTCTGTTCTGTTTGCAATGTGAATCAATATAGCCAAACCAAAATAAGTTGTAGTTTGGCAAAGAGTTTGATTAGAAATGCCAAATTAAAGTATTGTTCCCTCTGGGCAACTGTGTAACCTTGTTTGACTTTAATTATTTTTCAACCCTTTTTGTTGACCGAGATAACAGACTGAATGTATGCCTTTACAGTGATGGAGCAAAAGTATTTTGGAGTTCAGGTTCTGAGGAATGGGTTGTGATTGTTCTCCCATGATCTGTAAAAGGTTTTTAGGACAAAGTAGTTGTTTTAATCTAGTCCTTGGGACAAGTGCTTACATTCACCATTCCAGCAATGTTGGTGGCTACTAACAAGTTTTTCTTGACTGATTGATTGCAGGCGGTGTGGGGACTGCTGCAACGCAACTGTGTAAAATAGTTAAAGATGTGACTATCTTCGGAACTGCCTCAGCATCTAAACATGAAATCATCAAAGAACAGGGTGTGACTCATCCCATCGACTATTCTACCTTGGACTATGCTGAAGAAGTTAGAAAGATATCCCCCAATGGTAATGGCATGAAAAGAGAAACAAAGCTAATATTAAAAGCCAGGAAGTGGCAATTTAGATTTGAAGGACACCCACACCAATCATGTCTGATTTGTTTTTTTAAAAAAAATTTAACTGTGTACCTTCACCAGAAGGGCCATTTAAATTAACGGCTGGGCAACATAATAGCATGTAAGTCTTGCAATGTCGTTTATCTTTGCAACTTCATAGCAAGTACTCCATTTTTACTTTATATTAAAATACTAGTTTGCATCATTCCTCTGACTTGTATTTGCATGATTTTAAATTATGCTTCGATGTTAACTAGCATATTATCATGGAAGTGCTGAAATTATCACTATTCTGTAATTGTGTCCTTTTTAGGTGTTGACATTGTTTTGGATCCCCTGGGTGGAGGTGACACAACTAAAGGCTATAATTTGCTCAAACCAATGGGAAAAATCGTATTATATGGTAAATACCATTGCAATACTGAATTGTTAGAATTGCTGTAATTGTTAGTAATATTATGAAGATGACATTCTCCATGTAGTAATGATTTTCTTTTTTAATTCATGTTCATTGCTGGTAGCTAAATCTATTGGCCTAACCTGGCTTCCCCAAAAGGAGATGACAATGGCTGTAATGACCTTCTCCTTGGGCATCTCTGTTCTCCAGTGCGTTAAGTAGAAAATTTTTTTAAAAAGTTTACTTTAGTGACTACGTGTCCACATTGGGTTGGAGCTAATGTTGATGTGCCTAATTACTGAGATTTCTTTAGTTACTTTGCAACATAGCTGACTTTTGTTTTTCATTGCTGGACTTTTTTTATGCTTGCTTTCAGCAATTGAGCTAAGCGTGTCACGTGGGCCTGGTATCACACATGGGCCACATAGAGTAGGAGGCCCTTTTATTATATATCAAGCTTCCAGTAAGTGTGTGCACACCACAAGCCCAACCAGTGTGCTTTTAAAATGGTTGTATCATTCTTGGCACACCCTCTCTCTAGGCAGCAAATGATCTCCAGTTCTTTTGAGTTTTACAAGCAGGAACTGACCAGATTACAGAGAATGCCTTGCCTGTTGTGAACACCAGAAGGATCTGCTCATACAGCTTGCTTACTGAACATCACACTGATACTGAACTTAATGTACTGCATTAATCATTTTGTGTGTGATAAACGGAACATTTTTTTTTGACTTGACAGTAGCAATCTGACCTACATGCATGTTGCTCCCCTTTTTACATTGGTGTTCTTGCAAATGTCCTGATAAGTGAAAAATGAAAGGTTTTGACAAAATGCCATTTTCAACAAAATTGAAGTTCTGTACTACTGTGTGACTCTGTAAATTCCTGAGATAGTCAGATTTTTAATGTTGATGCTGCACCTGTTGTCATGGTCACTTTTTTATTTTGCCAAATTTGGCAAGTTCTGATTCGGCAATGACAGGAGTTCAAGCTTGTGTCCGCAAGGCTTGCAGTCTGATGCGATAACCATTTGGATACTGTACCTGGAGATAAATCACCTTTTTGACGTCTAGATGTTTGGAATCTTGATTCCAGAATAGAAATTATAAAAAGCTCTGCAGCAGTACACAAGATGATGGTTCTGTTCCAAGTAGGGTGTGGAATTAACTGTTTCTGCATGCAAACGTAGGGCTGGGTTTTTTAATATAAGTCAACAAATTCGCTAAATTATTAATTTGTCTAATCGCTCCTACAGCCTAAACCAGGTTTCGATACTTTATACCTTCACCTTTGTATGACAGTGTTTTGGGTAATTTTCTATCTACCCAGTGAATTATACAGCCACCATCCACCCAAATCCAGTGCCATTCATTCCCAACCTTTTTCCACTGTGACCCTGTTTTAAAGTGTAAATTGTTGTCCCCCTTCAGTGGGGAAGGGGACTAAGAGTGTGGGCCTGTTAGAGGAGCACCACTGTTATAACTCTCTCAGGCAGAGTTTTACTGCTGCATTGGAGCTCAGGATCTCAAAGTTAGTTTGTGACAACACTTGGAGTCCTGCCCTAATCTGTGTAGCAGAGATGTATTTAAGATTCAGATTACACTTTTTTTGGTCTTTTGTTTGGGAGCTACAATCTTTTTGGATTTAGTTTGATTTGATTTTTGTTTTTTTTCTTGTATTGTACCTAACTTTTTGTACTGTTGATGTGCTGATCCATATGACACGTGGCTATTTCTGATCAGGGGCACTACTTGTAAATGCTGAACCACACTGGCTAGATTTTCTTAAAATCTCAATCTGTCCTCCAAAACATGATGTGACTTTTATGGATTTCTCTAACCACCCTAAATGGAGCATGGTTTATCATTTGCTGGTTCGGAGTCTTTTGATTCTAACTCAATTCAGCTTGTGTATAGAATTCCCCACTGAAAAGGTTGCATTCCTAACATGCTTCTTTGTTTAAACACACTTGGTGACAGGAACTGGCTTTTGCATAGTAGGAGCAGGATTTCCTTAAAGCCTCAAGTTGTGGAGCTTCTAGATACAGCACAAATCATGCCTATGATATTTTAAGTATTACGCTTCATTTCCAGCAATGGTCATGAAGGTTAAAGTAGCAAAGATGCTGATTTTATCATCTTGGGCCAATGGCAGTGACGTAAAACAATGCTTTAATGTATAAAGCATTGGAACTTTTTAAAATTGCTCATGGTTGTTAAGTCAGATGCTCAACAATTTGATGTCTTAATGGAAGGTGCAGCTGCCAATTGAAGACAATCAAATTTGGTATCTTTTTAAGAGGCCAGGATTCGCAGAATGTTAGGAACTCTGACGACTGGAGGAGGCCAGAAAATAGTGAGAGGTGAGGCCATAGAATGAAGTGAAAAGATGCAAATCTTGAAATTGAGGCTTTGCTTAATTGGGAACACAGGCCAGTGGGCACAGGTAAGATTTCCAAATTGGACTCCATGCAACTTGCAACATGAGCTTTGAATAATCAGGGTTACAGAAAATAGAACAAATGCAGTTGGCTAGAGGTGCATTGGAATAATCCAGCCTAGATGTAATGGAGGCACAATGACGGTTTGGAGAGCAGATGAGCAGAAACAGGGGTTTTGTTATGAAGACCAAAATAGGTCATTGTGGTCTCATGTATGCATACACAATAGGGAGTTCCGTTTGAACTGAAGACCACCTAAGGTGGTGATCAATCTGGTTTAACTTCTGCTGCTAGGAAGATTGATGGAGTTGGTGGTTAGGGAACTGAATTTGTGGTCTTGTCAACTTCTATCCTCCCAATATTTAATTGCTTGTCACCCGTCATGGATTTTTGTCAAAACTAATGGTTTAAGGAAAGTTGGGAGGGTCAAGTGAAATGAATGTGGGGTGGAACTGATTTTGTGCATATGTGTGAACAGCACCATGGCCTGGGTGTTTTTGTTTGCCTGAATCAGGGATGCAGTGTTGGAGAATTCCTGACTCCATGAACCCAACTTCGTCTGTCCCGGCAAACACTCTCCAATCTGGGGATGGACTGTATTAGTCAGTGAGGGCATTCCGTAAGCAGTGAGGAGCATGCAGGATAAGGAGTTGGGTTTGCTCACAGCAATGCCTTTGGCCTCTAGCACTGTTAAAAGTTTTTTAAAGAATGAAATATCCCTCGAGCTCTCTGATCCATGTCCATGTGCACGTGCACTCATTGTCACCTTACCCAATCTCCAAATGGCCCTTTTTATAGCTCCTATGTCAACCCATACCACTAATCTTTGTCCTGACATCTGCCAACTCTCCTATTATCCATCATGCACAGACCTTGTGGCCCATGGAGAGATTAAAAAACAAAGTTCTAAAAATAGTTGTTTATTGTAGATGTCAATATATTGTTATTAATAAAAAGTCCTGTTTCATTTCATCAACTATATAGAGCGTTACAACAAATTTTGACCAATTGTACAGTTCTTATTATAATAAGTGTATCTTATTTCAAAGAATATGTAACCCTTTTCAACTGTCATCCAAACTGAAGGGGTAGGTACCTACCTCTGATAACAGATGCTTGTAATATCAATCCCATGGCTGTAATTAAACCTGCAGGCTTGCTCAGCAAAGCGAGGGAGTAAACTTTTTTCTTTAATTTATATACTATAGACATCCCTTAAGATTTAAAGGGCAGAACGTTTAGCTGCCTTGACAGCTTGATGGATGTCATGAACAGAATAGATACACTTAATTTGTAATCATTCAACTTTTTTAACAATTCCAAAGTAGTCCTGACTTCTCCCGTACAGCTTCAAATACCCAAAGATGTCCTATGGTTTGTTCCAAAGGGGTATCCTGACTATCCAAAGAAATGCATAAATTTCAGACCTGCTCTGCAGGTTGACTGTGTGCACACTGAATTTCATACCACAATATGACGAGTGGAAAGAGCTAATGACTTAACTGGCCAGCTGCCCCTGTGAAATGTGCATGTGCGATACATAATCGCTCCATTCCTGCTCCAGATGAAGTAAGAAGGGCTATCATAAGTGGGACTTTTGTTTTCTGGGTCACTTGTTGATTTCGCACCTATCTTTTCATCTCTCTGTTGAGAACCAAGGCTTGAGCATCACCTAGATGGAAAATCATTGGAGCAGGAATAAATCATTGGGCCAGCAGAAGTAATGGTGCATGAGTGAATCCATTGCAAGTGGTTTTTGGCTTGAGACGTAGGTAGTTTAAGAATGGAATTAAGTCAGTACAGTCTCATCCAAATAATGGTGGTGGAGGGATGATGGAACTACAAGGAGTTGCAAAGAGTTGCCATTTGTATTTACATAGGCTAGCTGTTTAAGAACGGTTTAGGTACTTTAACTGGGGCAGAAATCTGAGTTTAAAAACTGGGTGGCGAAAAAACTGTGGATGCTGTAAATCAGAAACAAAAGCAGAAATTGTCTGGCGGCATTGTGGAGAAAAATCAGAGTTCATGTTTCGGTCCAATGACCCTTCCTTAGCTCTTCCAATTTCTTTTTGTTTCAGAAATGTGATTGCCCAGCTTTTTGGAACTTCGATCAGTCCAAAGATTTAGATGACAAGATGTTGAGAACAGTATTTTTAAGGATGAAGTGGCTCAAGGTTCCCCCTTTTTTCTGTGGGGCAGTGGCAAATTTGAATGAGAAGGGCATAGTCTCTATTTTTTAAAAAAAAAGTTTGACTAAACTGGAAACCAGGAAGAAAAGTTGAATGGGATAAAACCTTTAGTAAGATCAGAGCAGGAAGTGGATCTCGGTGGCAAGATTAGTTTAGAGAAGTATTGGAGATTTTTGGGACAGGGTTTGATTTGGAGAAAGTTGGGCCTATTCTTTCTCCATTCCTCCCCACTATCACACAATTAGTACTTCATATTTTATACAGATATAAGCTTAAATGATGTGTTACTGAAAGCTGCCAAAAGCATATGTAGACCAAATGGCACCATCGTGCTTTTCTACTGTACCCCCAAGCTGAGTGTTTGGTGGTATTATTCA